CCAAAAAGCGTTTTGACTAGGAGGTATCTGTTCGAGTGGGTGTGTGTGTGTAGCACTTTTTGCATCTACTTTCAACTCAGCAACCGATGAAGCTAGGAAACTGACATTTCTATGTGCGATTCCGCACCTTGTAAAATCACCTTTCTCCTACACCTTCGTCTCAAGTGCAGCTCCCTGGAAATTTACGCAATTTTTTCGCGAGAAAGCGATTTGGAAATTAGGCAAGCTAAGAAGCTAAAACTCCATAGGGAGCTAAAGCATTAAGTGGGCTAAAGATTTTAAATTCAGCTCGAACGCGCGCGTACTTAACATCTCCTGCAAACACGTCAAACTTACTATTTCGTAATAGGTGACAAAGTGCCAGTTAGGAGCTAAGCTGAGTAAATTCCTCGAAATGTACGAGGGCATTTGCTGCGTACCTGTACATGTGAAATGTGCATTCGCCTGCGCTAGTATCACGCTTGCGGGCATATCAAACTATTTTTGGAAGAAAAACGATTTCAAGAGCTAGCTGAGCTGCGAAGTTGAATTTTCTAAGGATATGATGATGCATGGCAGGTGAAATTCATCCTACACAACTACGTGCTAGTAGCCATTTCCAGTAGCAGCCTCTTAGCATCCATTTAACTCGCGATTCAGGCTACTTGAGCGGCAGTGTTTTTATGAAGATATTTCGTACATCGGCTGCTCATGTGTCATGCTTTAATAAATCAAATGTTACTTTCTATGGGCAGTCTTTTCCTCCTGAAAATTTGTTATGCCGTTGGATTTTTATGATGTGATTGATTGTATCAGTATCAGTGGGACTCCAAAGGTAAAGAATTAGTTCTCGTTCATGTCATTTCCGCGCATGATGGATTATGATGGACTGATTTCAGCTGCCAGCTGGACAAATTTCATTCCGGGCTCTTGCACTTCATATCACTCTATGAATACTGGCCATGTTTCTCATGATTATGCAAATTTGCGTTATCGCTGGTAGCACAGTATTCGCGTTATTCGTTTTCACTACGGCAAAGGCAGTGCTTACGGAAGTGTTTGACACTTTCATAGATTCTCTTTTACCCACCAGCAACTTTCGATCTGTCAGATTACTGAAGACCACATCGATAAATTATACATCAGTAGCTGCTCAGTTAATTACCTGAACTTGGAGAACCAGTG